AGTGAGCTCAAGGCCAGCTTGAGTTACACAGCGAGAGCCAGTTTTAAAAAACAAAAATAAATAAACAAAAGAAGAAAAAAATAGAGTGGGAAGGTGAGATAATAGAGACTATATTAATTTGTTGAATATTTCTGGGAGGCTGAGGCAAGATAATTACAATTTCAAACTCACTTCGGATAACAATGATATAGCAAGACCCTGTCACAAAATAAAAAGTAGAAAAGGTCTAGGTATTGGCTCAGGGAAAAGCCTCAGGTTAAAAACCCTTCCCATGGGTCTGGGGGTTTAGCTCAGCGGCATAAGCGCCTGCCTTGCAAGCAGGCAGTTGTGAGTTCGATCCTTGGTACCGATAAAAAGGAAAAAGACAAACAAAAAAAAAAACTCTTCCCACAACAACAACAACAAAAGACAGACCACAATACATGGGAGGCTGAGGCAGGAGGATTACCAAGAGTTTGAGGCCACCCTAGGCTGCAAGATGAGTTTGAGGCCAGCCTGAACTGTACAGTCAAACCCTGTCTCAACAAGACAAAAAAAAAAAAAAAAAAAAAAAAAAGACTGTGATGGTGCATATCTGTAATCCTATCACTTGAGAGGCTGAGGCAGGAGGATTACCACAAATTCAAGGCCAGCCTAGGCCAAACTCACTCCCTTTCCAGCAAGTGCATTAGTCTGCCCCAGGGACTGCTACTAGTACCCCTGGATCACAGGTAAGTGCAAGGACACAAGGACTAGGACCCGGGTATTAGTTAGGTCCATGCAGCACAGACTGCTTCATGCAGAAGAACACAAGCTTTAAATTGGAGCAGGAAGACATAGAGGAAGAACCCCAAACTGTGAAGTGGACGAACTGAGTGTAAATCCTGCTTGCTTTGTTGAAAATGATCTTTAAAGAGCTGGGAGTGTAGGGGCTGGAGATTTAGCTCAGCAGGCATAAGTGCCTGCCTTGCAAGCAGGCAGTCGTGAGTTCGATCCCCGGTACCCATAAAAAAGAAAAAAGACAAAAAAAAAAAAAAAAAAAAAAAAAAAAAGAGCTGGGAGTGTAGCTCAGTGGTAAAGAACCTGCCCAGCATCCACAAGGCCCTGGTTCTACCCTATACCCCTCCCTCCAAAAAAGAAATACAATGATTTTTATAACTTTTTGACTATAAAGGTAGTATATCTGGGAATCAAGATTGAAGTTGTGGTGAGATTTAAGTGCTATATAAGAGAATCGAGTTCTTTCTTTCTTTTTTTAGGAGGTCTTTTTGAGACAGGGTCTCACTATACAGTTCAGGCTGGCCTTGCGCTCACCCAAGCTGGTTTTGAATTTGCAACAATCCCTCCTGCCTCAGCCTCCCAAGTGCTGGGATTTAAAGGTATATGCCAGTATACCTGGTTTGGAATTGAGTACTTCTAAAAACTGTTTCTGAAGAAAATAAGGGTACAAAGGGTATGGTGATGGGCACCAGTAATCCCAGCTACTCAGGGGGCTGAAACAAGATTAAAAATTCAAAATTATCCTGGACAACACTGTAAGACAGCATCCAAAAAGAAGCAAAGAGAAAGGTATGGTGACACATAATTGTAATCCCAGCACTTGGAGGGTGGTGGCAGGAGGATCACCTAGAATTTGAGGCCAGTCTGCGCTACCTAAGCAAGTTGAAGGCCAGTCTGCACTACATAGTGACACATCCTGTCTCAAAAAAGAAAAAGAAAGGAAAAACACAAGGTTACAGGTGAGGGGGGAACCAGCAAACAAGAATGGACCACAATATTTCAGGAACTACTGGAGGTGGTGGCGCACACCTGTTAATGCTGTCACTTGGAGGATTGCCATGACTTGGAGACCAGCCCAGAGCTAGAAGTTCAAGGCTGGCTTGAACTACACAGCAAGACCCTGTCTCAAAACAAACACCAAAGGGCAGGGATGGAGGTGCATCCCCGTAATCCCAAGAGCTCTTTGGTACTGATGCCCTAATTTAAAAATAAAGCAAATTACAATCAGTGAACCCTAATATAAATATAATATATATACTAAAAAAATAGTATAAATAATTCACTAAGGCCTCTGGGGACACAGGAGAAACCAGTTGACAAGTAGCAGACATCTTCTTCAGCTTCCAAGGAGCACGTTTTGCTATGCTACTCAAGCTGGTTTTGAACTCATGCGCTCATATATGTGATCCTCCTGCCTCTGCCTCCTAAATTGCTGTGAACACAAGTGCCCATCAGTACACCTTGCCAGGAAGCACTTTTCTTTTCAGTGTTGTCTGTTTTGCTTTGAGCCAGGGTCTCACCACGTAGTTCATTCAGGCTGGTTGTTTTATGCACATGAAAGTCTACCTGCAAATCTCTTGGATTTCTAGATCTGGAATGTAGCTCAGGTTGGCCTTAAACTCCACAGCAATCCTCCTGCCTCGGCCTCCTGAGTGCTGGGATTACAAGCATGCACCACCACCCTTAGCTAGACACTCATTTTTTTAAGAGACAAAAAGAAAAAATATAAAAACAACTAACTATAATAGGGAAGGAAGCTGCTCACACCATGGCAGCCAGGAAGCTGAGAACAGCAGGGGTTGAGCTTCCTATTCCCTTCAAGGCCGGGCTCCCTTTACCTCATTTCCTCCCGATGGCCCGATCTGTTAAAGGTTCCACCACCTCCCCATAGTGTGAGGCTGGGGACCTGGCTTTCCACACCCGGGCCTTGGGGACCAGCTCTCAGATGGCTGAGGTAGGAGGATCACAAGCTCAGGCCCACAGTGAACAACTGAGTGAGACCTTGTCTCAAAATGTTAAGGGAAAAAAAAGATTTTTTTTTAAAGGAATAGGGATGGGGTGGGGGATATAGCTCCAGCAAGCACAAGTCTTAAGTTTGATTTCCAGTTCCAGAGGGGCAGGGGGAAACATATATACATACATGGCCAGGGACATAGCTTGACACTCCCGGGCTTCAATCCCCAGTAGTGGAAAAAACAAGAAACACACCCTAATTTGGAGGTCAAGAAGTCTGAATATATATGTAACAGTCTCCATTAAGACTCATGTGTGTGGAATTAGAATTGTTCTCTAGAAGTTCTTGATGATAAAGGACTTATGCACAGGGACTGGGGGTTTAGCTCAGCGGCATAAGCACCTGCCTTGCAAGTAGGCAGTCGTGAGTTCGATCCCTGGTACCGATAAAAAGGAAAAAGACCAAAAAAAAAAAAAAAAAAAAAGGACTTATGCACAGGTGACTTACGCACAGCATTCTTAAATACAGACATGCAGGGGGTGAGGATATAGCTCAGCAACAAAAGTGCCTGCCTGGTAAGCATGAGGTCATGAGTTTAATCCCTGGTACCAAAAAAAAAAAAAAAAGAAGCATGATACAGATACGAGTAGGTTTTATTTCAGCTTAAGGTTCTGCTTCTCATCATATGATTAAACAGTTCTCTGACCATTGAGCTTTTTGCCATAGAAATAGGAAAAACAGGTGTTGGCCCTTTTCCCTTGTGGAAAGCTAGACATAAAAGAAATACTCATGGTTTGGTACTAATTTCAATAAAATTATTGAAATGCAAAAAAAAAATACTCATTTTTCTTTTTTATCAAATTTGTCCCCAAGCCATAAACTTAACATGTTAAATTAGAAAACTCTATTTTTGTTTTTATTTTCTGAGACAGAGTCTCACTAGGTAGCTCAGAATGTTCTTAAACTCATTATGTAGCCCAGGCTGGCCTGTAACTTGCAGTAATCTTCCTGCCTCAGCCTCCTGAGTGCTATGATTACAAATATGAGCCATCACACCTCTCTTCTCTCTGTTTTTTTCTTTCCTTCTTCCTTTTTTTCCCTCTCCTTTCTCCAGTCAGTTTGGGGTTTGAACATTGCTATACCACTAAGCCACATTCATAGCCCCAGGAAACTTTATATTTTGATCCTTAAAATGCAGGTAATAAAGCAAAGCAAAGTTGATTTGTAAGTCCTGTTGAGGCAGGAGGACTGCTATGAGTCTGAGGCCAGTCCATGCTACTGAGCAAGACCCTGTCTCAGAAAAGCAAACACAAAGCAAAACAAAGCCCTAAAAGTTGATTTGTAAACTACAAGGTGTTAAGATATGAGTAACTATGTTTGCAATTTTATTTACTTGCCAAACATTAATATAAGACTTCATACAAGGCTGGAATTGTTTTACGTGCTTTGTTTAAAGCTCATAAAGTATTTGTTTAAAGCTCATAAAGCTATGTCTTATTCTCACTGTATAGATAAGGATGCAAGCCTGGAGGAGTTGGGAATTGCACCCTGCTTCACAAAGCAGAGCAAGCAGAGAACCTGGGTACTTCCTTGCAGGCTGGGGAATCCGCTCCTCACTGAGCTGCTGTGTAACTTTCTTCTCTAATTCAACCTCTGCGAGGCCCACGGGCTCACTCTGGCCAGGAGAGGCTTTTTGCTGCTGCCTGTCCACCTCTTTGCATTTTACCTGTTACTGAAAATCGGGTTTAAGCAGGCCTCTTCTGGCGGAAAGGAAACTGCCGTTTGGATCACACTTGATAACCAGCTGTACCCTTCGTCACTGATGAACCTGGTACTCTGCTATTCCAACGCCTTGTGACACATTGTAGTATTTTACTATACAGTCTTTTTACCTACTCCTATGCTTTGTAAGAAGACTGGTGTAGAAAACTAAGGTAGATCAGCATGTGGTGGTGCACGTCTGTAATCCCAGCACTCAGAAGGATGAGGCAGGAGAATCGTTGTGAGTTTCAGGTCAGTGAGGAAGCTCAGCTACATACTGAGCTAAATAAAGCCCTGCCTGAACTACATATGGAGGCCCTGCTCAGAGAACCAAACCAAACCAAACCCAACAAAAAAAGTATCCCCACCACAAAAATGACACAGTGGCAGGCCCTGGGCACTGATGGTAGCAGATGCCACCTCCCAAAGGAAGGTGGTGAGTTCCTGCCCGGTCCCCAGCACACGGAGGGAAAAGCTTAGAGCTTGAGGCGCGGCCTTCAGAAGCAGTCACTCCAGAGCCCTGGGAAGGGTGCTGCGTTTGTCCCCAGCCTTCTGGCACACACAAGCTGGATCCAGGGGCGGTAGCATTTTTACTGGCCAATCTGTGTTCACAGCGAGGGTTCTGTGCTGGAATTCCCAAATCTTTAAGCAAATGGCAGAACCAGGCACGAGGGACCTAGCAGAGGGCAGAAAAGTGTAAACCAGGCCATCATCGGTGGATCAGCGGGCACTTCAGATTTCGCTGGAAAGACGCGCTGGGTTCCGGCTCCGGCTCCGAGGAATGCAGCTGCTGCCTCTGCACTGGCCTGTTGCTCCTGCGCGGTCCCAGGAGTGGTGGTGAGTTGCTGGGCTTCCAGACCTGCACAGTGAGGATCTGTTTACAAAGCACCTAATGAGCTCACCCAGGAGGTGGGGTCGGTTACACTGCAGAACTTGCCTGGATCCCGGCTGTCTGTTCTGTCACAGGACTGCAGGGCTTTTAGATGTAAGGGCCACAGTGGGGAACCCGGATGGGGGGAAGCCCCTCCAAAGTCCAGGGCTGTTCGCCCTGGCCCTGTGACAGCAAAGGGGCCTCTGTACAGTCCCTGGAGAGAATGGATGACCCAAAAGAAAGCAAGCTGTCCTGCCCGATGTTACTTAGCTGTCCTGCCCGATGCACTGTTAGCTTCACATTTGAAAACATGACATTCAATATAGTTTGTTTTTATTTTGCTTTGTTTGTCTTTTTTTGAGACAGGGTTTTGCTATGCAGTTCTGGCTGCTCTGAATTCACTTTGTAGTCCAGACTGGCCTTGAACTCATGGTGATCCTCCTGCCTCAGCCTCCTGAGTGCTGGGATTACAGGCGTGTACCTCTAAAATCTGTTTGATATATAGATAATAATTAGATGCCTATATACATTTCTATATGATTTTATAGTTGAGGCATTTCACATATGTGATTCTTACCCTGTCGAGGTGGATAGGTCACAGTGATTGTCATTTTACAGAAGGGTGCTGTGGAGGGAGAGCAGGTTTGCTTGGGGTGACCCAGCTGGGGAGGACAGCAGCCCTCTTGCTGAGCTGCAGAGGATCCACAGGGGCACACTCATTCCATCGCCTCCTGTCCTGAGTGCGTACCTCCAAGAGGACATGAAACCAAGTAGTCACACAGCAGTGCCCTTTTTGAGAAAATTTGCCAATGAGAGAGACACACAGAAGCAGATAATTACCGCAACAGCCAAGCGTGGTGGTACACACAGCTAATGCCAGCACTTGGGAGGCTGAGCCCACGAGTCCAGCGCCAGCCTGGGCTACATAGTGAGCTCAAGGCAGCTTGAACTATCCTAACCCTGCTTCCTGATTGCTGGTTGGGCTCTTCCTCTGTGTGAAGCACCCAGAGGTCTTGCTGTACCAGAGAGTGGTGCCACTTTTAACTCTACCTCCCATGCTTTGATCTTCTTGGTGCAGGAAAATGAGATTGTGCATGAAAAGTAGGCAGACCCGACTTGGCCTCTCAGCTTCACAGTTTATTAATTTGGCCAAGTTCCTGAATGGTGTTGATTCTGCTTCCACAGTTGAGACTGCTAATTTGTACCTTGCAAGACTGCTCTGAGGACTGCATTGCTCAGTATAGAATAACTGGCACGGTGGCTGGTACACAGCAGGCACTCCATTATTTGCTGCTCATACCACAAATAAGTAGACTGGAGCTAAATACATGGTGATTGAAAGCTAGCCCAGGCAAACTGGGCTTGGAAGGAGCAAAATGAAAATGGAAAATCCCAGCATTCATGGGGCTGAGGCAGGAGGAGCTTTGCAAATTTGAGGACAGCTCAAATTTTCATAGTTCAAGGCCAGTCTAGACTACACATCGAGACCCAGACTTAAAAAACCAAATAATTATAATAAAAAGAAGATTACAGTTCTTCCCCATGTCCGAATTGTCAGGATATTGGCCATTAGGGCAGTGTGCAGAACTTTGATTCCTCCCTCCCTAAAACCTTTTATTTTTTCCTTCCAGTGTTAGGGGTTGAACCCAGTGTCTTACACATGAGAGAAGTAGGTGCTCTACCACTAAGAACCCACCCACCCCTGTCCTCTCCTCCACTTTCAACAGTTTTTTTTTTTTTTTTTTTATCGGTACTGGGGATCGAACTCAACAACCACGCGCTTGCAAGGCAGGCACTTGCAAGGCAGGCACTTATGCCGCTTAGCTAAATCCCCAGCCCCAACAGTTGTTTTTTTAAGACAGGGTCTCAAGGTGTCATGCAGGTTGGCTTTGAACTAACTGACCTCCAACTGGCCTCCAACTCCCAGGTGATCCTCCTGCCTCTGCCTCTTGAGTGCTGGGATTACAGATGTGCACCACCACACCCAATTCTCAACAGCTTTGGATGAAGAATTTATTTAATTGCCAGCTGGCAAAAGTCTGGAAGTGACAGGCAGCTCTGTAGACAGAATGATGAATATGACATTGGATATCTTAGCTGAGTACACAGTTGGCTTCTTGAGTGTGTGTGTGAGCATGTGGACAAACCTACCTCAAGGGACCCTGTGACCAGGACTCAGCAGCTGGTCAAGATGGCATCTCCTAGCACCCTGGATGAGGTACACCTTTTGCTCCAAACTGCAAATTCCTAGGGGCCACAGGCTGTGTCAACCGTATCTGTTTGTCCTGCATGGTACCTGGTGTCATTAAATACTTGCCACATGCATAACTGGATGAGGTAGGAGTTGACTGTATAGATCTACACACCACCCAGATATCTCAATATCTACCCTGATGCACTTTCGTTCCCATTCCTGGGGTTCACCTTCCATGTAGACTGCCCACTGAGTGGCATCCAGACTACAGTTTTTCCTTGGTGTAAGGTATACATTCAAAAAGCCCTGATGGCGTTCTGTGCGATGCGATGACCCTCTTCCACATTATCTACCGTGTGGCTGTCACAGGGACTTGCCATCTGCTCAGTGTGGCTGAGGAACTGACTTGAGTACCGGGAATTAATTCAGGACCCTGTCAGGCAGGCACTGTGCCACTGAACTGTAGCCCTGGCAGAGGAACTGACTTCGAATTTCATTTTATTTCACTTTTTTGAGACAGGGTATTGGTTTTTTATGTATCCCAGGATGGTCCTGAATTCACTGTGTTGCCCAGACTGCTTCAGACTTGTATCAGTCCTCCTGCTTTTGGCCTCCTGAGCACTGAGATGGCAGATGTGTGTCACTGTGCCAGGCTGAAATCAGTTTAGGACACAATCCTGTTTCACTAGATGGAAGTGACTGTGCAATACATTATCGATGTAGGGGAGAAAACACACACACACACACACACACACACACACACACACACACATGCATATACACACATTTCATAAAACAAACGTTCAGCCAGGCATGGTAGCACACATTTGTAATCCTAGCACTTCGGAAGCTCAAGCAGGAGGATTGCTGCTAGTTTGAGGCCAGTTTGAGCTGTGTAGCCAGACATTGTCTTGAACTAAAACAATTAAAAATATATAAATTAAAATAAATAATAAATGTTTATATATATATATATATATATATATATATATGCATATGTGTGCCATAAATACTTATTTTGCAGCTCTAAGAGTTTCGCTTAAGACTACTACTAAGCCTTGATGGTATTCACTCATGAGATTGATGTGGGATTGTAATTTATTTGTTCCTTTTACAGGTGCTACGTCAGGGAGGCTCCAGCAGGCTGCAGTGATATGTTTTTGTGGTCCTGGCCCCTTGGGAGGCTGAGGCAAGAGGAATGCTCAAGACAGAAGTTTAAGACCACCTTGGACAACACAGCAAGAGATCTAGTTTTTTGGAGGAGATGCTTTGGTTGATAAAATTTATCATCAGAGCTTTTACTTGATATGGGAGACTTGTATGTATGCCCGTGTGTGTGGGGGATGCTGAGCTACATTGCTGGCCACTGAGTCACTATCACTGAACTCCTGAGCTGCCTAAGATCCCTTTCTTTCTTTCTTTCTTTCTTTCTTTCTTTCTTTCTTTCTTTCTTTCTTCTTCAATTTAAACAAAAATATGGAAAACTTCATGAATTTTTGTGTCATCTTTGCTCGGGGGCCATGCCAATCTTCTTTGTATTGTTCCAATTTTAGTAAATGTGCTGCCAAAGACAGCACTTTCTTCAGTTTTTTTGTTTTGTTTTGTTTTTGAGACAGGGTCTTGCTCTGTAATTCAAGCTGGCTAGAACTCGCTCTGAGGCCCAGGATGGCCTCAAACTTCATCCAGTTCTCCTACTTCCGCCTCCCAAGTGATGGAATTTCAGGATTACAGGTGTGAACTGCACTCAGTCAAGTCCTCTTTTTAAAAATCAAATACCAGCAGATGTCTTGGTTGTGGTACAGAAGAAAAAAAAAGAAAAATGAATCACAAATGTAGTAGTCAGGAAGTGCTGGGAGCCAGCGAAAAGCAAGCCAGGGTCTTGTTTTCAAAGTTTACCATCTAGTGGGGGACAATGTGGAAACAGCACATAGGGCTGGCAGTGAGGTAGAGGGGCAGAGCCAGGACTGGTCCCTGGTTTGATCCCCAGCCTGCTCCTAGCCTCTCCCAGCCCCCATCCAAGTACGACAAGTAAAACCTGAAGGTCAATAAGTTACTTCCAAATTTAATAGTACTCCCCATCGACAGTCCTGGAGTCAGAAGCAGCCGATGTTCTCCCTGAGAAGCATCTACAAATCCTCCAGTCTGTACTGCTTGCTTTATAGATGAGGACAATTAATATCCAGAGAGGCCATGCAGCTTGCATGGGGTCACACAGCTGGCTACTATGACAGTGCTGGGCCTAGAAGTGGAGTCTGCTTGTACCAGTTTAGACTGTTTCAGTTTCTCCCTGACTGACACAAAGCCAGGGACAACTGACAAGGTACAGGCATAGAGCAGTGGTGGTGAACCTGTGGCACACGTGCCACAGCGGGCTGCTGCTGGTGTCACTGAAAGCTCAAAAAGGTTCTCCATCACTGGTGTAGAGTCAGAATTTTCTTAATAGGAATTAGCATTAACCTAATAGTAGATGTTTCTAAATGTTCTTACATTGCCAAGTCTATGTAGTGAGGACCAACATTTATTGGGCTCTTGACTGTATCTATAATTTATTTATTCATTTATTGGGGTTTCTTTTGAGGCAGTTTCACTATATGGTTCAGGCTGGCCTCAAACTTGCATATCTTCCTGCCTCAGCCTTCCAAGTCCTGGGAGAGATTTTACAGCTTGTTGTCTATGTGAAAATGTCTAGCTTTATTTTATTTTAATTTTTTGTTTTTTGAGACAGGGTCTCACTTTGTAGTGCAGGCCAGCCTTGAGCTCATTATGTAATACAGGCTGGCCTTGAAATCTTTGTGAACCTCCTGCCTCAGCCTTCCAAGTGCTGGGATTACAGGCATGAGCCACCACGTCCTTAAATGTCTACCTTTACTACGTAGTAACTTAGAGGTCCTTTAATATCGTACATCTTTTGTAAAATACACTGGAAAATGTATTTCAACATATTTCCTGCTTCTTTCAGTAATTTAGATTGGCCTTGATTGACCTAACAAAAATATCACATTAGGGGCTGGGGATTTAGCTCAGCGGCATAAGTGCCTGCCTTGCAAGTGCATAGTCCTGAGTTCGATCCCTGGTACTGATAAAAAATAGAAAAAAAAATATCACATTAGCCAGGCATGGTGGTGCACCCTTGTAATCTCATCATTCAGGAGGCTAAGGCAGGAGGATCACAGAGAGTAGGTGGGTAGCCTGGGCTACATAGTGAGTTCGTGACCAGCATGAACTACAGAGTGAGACCTTGTCTCAAACATAAACAAACAACAAGGTTAAATGGAACAGCACCAGGAGTCCATTTACTCTAGCATTTTTATCAGTTCACATCATATCTTTGCTAATAATCCTTCAGCTACTTTCCTCTCATTGGAGCTTGTGAATCTACTTGGGTGTAACAAAATGACCAAAGAGCAGTTTTCTTGACATGGGCTGGGCCCTGGGTCCCATTCCCAGAACTGCCAAAAAAAAAAAAAAAAAAAAAAACCAAAAAAACCTGTATCGATATACAGTGCATGTCTACCTCAGAGAGGAGGTAGTTTATAAACAAGAGACCCTGGTCTCTCAGGCTCTGGAGTCTGGGAAGCCCACCAGGGTGCAGGCAGCAGCAGACACAGCATCTCCTCAGGTTCCACTCTCCTAGCTGCCTTCCTGCTGCATCCTAGGAAAAAGTGCACTAATCCCACCCTGAGGGTTTTGCTTTCACAACCCCATCCACACTCAAGATGCTAGCTTCAAATCCAAAGTTTAGTTTTCAGCATTTGGATCTTGTGTGGACACAGAGTCCACAGCAGAGGCCTCACAGAGCCTCCACAAGGCTGCTGGCCACTGCCCCCCATCTCCTTCTTTTGTCCTCCTCCTCAGGGCACTGCATCTGTTTATCCCTGCATTGCTTCTAGGTATTTGCTTACCTGTTGCTTGTTTCTCCTCTATTCCCATTTTACTTATCTATTATTTAGGTACCAGTGATCAAACTCAGGACTTGTATTTGCCAGGCAGGCACTTGTGCCACTGGGGTACATTCCTGATCCTTCCCATTTTATTTTTGTTCAGACAGTCTTGCTATGTAATTCAAGCTGGTCTGGAACTCACCATGTAGCCCAGGCATGTAGCCCACTCAAACTAGCAGTGATCCTCCTGCCTCAGCTTCCCAAGTATTGGTGTTAGAGGCATGTGCCACCATGGTTGGCTGTGTAAACATATTTTTAAGTGTGTAACACTTTACTGTTAGTTATAAGCAATTGTATAGCAGATATCTGGACCTTATCCTGTAGAACAGTACAGTGTTGCTTTATTTCTTAGGTTTGCCTAGTCATTCCATGTATATGAAAAACTCACTATCCCTACCTTGAGCCCTAATCACTCCCTGCCTCTCCTTTGCGTATTTTTTCCCCTCTACTAACTTTCTCTAAATTAACTGGTATAACTCTGTTAGACTATTGATGTCTATCATGAAGCAGCTCAAAAAATATTTGCTGCAAGCTTGGTGTGGTGGTGCAGGCCTATAATCCCAGCGAAGAGGCTGAAGCAGGAGGATGGCTTTGAGCTCCAGATCAACCTGGACTACATAGTGAGTTGTCAGTCTGACCTACATAGGGAGACCTTGCCTCAAAAAAAAAAAAAAATAAATAAAACTAATGAAAAAAATCCCTTAACAATACACTATATTAATTAAATCATAGTAGCCAATGAAAGGAATTTCACTTTTTTTTTTTCTTTTTCCTTATTTTACCTTTTTCTTATCGGTACCGGGGATCGAACTCACGACTGCCTGCTTGCAAGGCAGGCGCTTATGCCGCTGAGCTAAACCCCCAGACCCGGAATTTCACTTTTTTATACTTCCGAATTTCAGATTATCAGTGGGGCCCAGTGTTACTTCAAGCACCAGCAGAAGCATCAAACAGCAGGCATAACTGAGCTCCTTAGTCAGGTCATGGAGCACTGGCTGTGCACTATGCATATTCCCTGAGGTGAGATGTCCCTTCTGTCACAAATCTAAATTCTGACAGTTACCTGAAAGTTCAAGAAAGCACACTTTTTATTTTAATAAATAAAAATTAAACAGACTAACAGACAACATAATAGGTTTCTTTTAAGGAGTGATACTAAATGATGCAGCCTTTTCTTGGTGAGCTTTAAGATGCTTATTCACTATGATTTGGTCAAGAGAATTTTTGCAAGAACAAAAAGACAGCCGGGAGTAGTGGCACAGGCCTGTAATCCCAACATTGGGGAGGCTGAGGCAGGAGAATCACAAGTTCCAGGCCAGCCTGGACTAGACAGTTCAAAGCCACTCACAGCAACTCCCTGTCTCCAAAAAAAAAAAAAAAAAGGAAGATGACCGTGAATTCGAGGCCAGTCTGTCTCGAAAACAAACCAAAAAACCTCCTAAAACCAGGAAGAAAATCAAAAGTGCATAACCTGGCTGGTCTCACCTTCAGTGTTAGCTTCTGGGACCGCCTAACCAAACAGCCACGGCCAAAGGTGGCAAGAGTCAGTCTTAAAAGGAGACTGTTTTTTTGTAGGTAGAGCAAATTTAAGAGGTGTAATTCCAAGGCTTTTTCGCGAGCTGTAAAAGCCATGAGATTATTGGGCACATTGTGCACTATGGAGGATCAGAGCGAAGCTTCTACTTCCCAGGTCCTGCACCAGGGTTTGTGCAAGGGACAAAAGAAAGGCTCTGCCCTCCCCCTTCGCGAATTCAAAATCTAATTTCGCAATCCAAGGACTTGCAGAAATTAAACCGAATATTAGACGGGGGAGGGAAGAGGTCGAAAACCGGTGGGTGGGAACAATGGCCATCTGCAGTTCTGCAAGTCAGAGCTGCAGTCTTTAAAGGAGTTTCCAACGACTGGCTGGAGAAACGCAGCAGAAAGCAAATCTAAGATGGAAGAAAAGGCGGAGGATTCGAGCCGAAAATGCCAAGCTGAGGACTGAAAGCGTTTGGTGAAAAGGAGCCTGCCGGCTGGGAAAACACAAAGGCAAAAATGCACGGCCGCCCAAGGACCAGAAAGGTCAATAGCTTTAGCAGCGGGTCGGTTTAACCGAAAGGCCATTTCCTTTTCCTCCATTTGCTGGGTCCCAATTGGAAGCGCCCAGCGCGCCCTGCTCGCGTGGGGGCAGGGAGGCGAGTCCGGGAAGGGGCGGGACGAGCGCGGGCGCGCGCCGGCTTCCCTCCTGCGCAGCGTGGCGTCACGCAGTGGGCGGGGCGACTATATTACGTGCGCGGTACCGCCCCTGCGAGAGGACGTTGCGTGCTCGCTCGCGGCAAGCGAGTCTCCGCGTCTCCCTCGCGAACTCGGTGAAAGGAATTGGCGCCGTTCGACACCAGGCGGGTCCGCTCTGCAGCACGCACCTATCTCCAGCCGCAGCTGCCGCCCGGGTCGACGAGCAGCCGCCACCAGTGGCCGACGGAGGGGAGCCGAGGTTGAGCCAGCACCCAGCGGTGAATCGGGGCCCTCACCATGAGTTCCTCGCCTGTTAATGTAAAAAAGCTGAAGGTGTCGGAGCTGAAAGAGGAGCTCAAGAAGCGACGCCTGTCCGATAAAGGCCTCAAGGCCGAACTCATGGATCGGCTCCAGGCCGCGCTGGACGACGAAGAGGCCGGGGGCCGCCCCGCCATGGAGCCCGGGAACGGCAGCCTCGACCTGGGCGGGGATTCGGCCGGGCGCTCAGGCGCAGGCCTCGAGCAGGAGGCCGCGGCCGGCGGCGACGAGGAGGAGGAAGAGGAGGAGGAAGGCATCGCCGCGCTGGATGGCGACCAGATGGAGCTAGGGGAAGAGAACGGGGCCGCGGGGGCGGCCGACGCGGGCCCGATGGAAGAGGAGGAGGCCGCGTCGGAAGACGAGAACGGCGACGATCAGGGCTTCCAAGAAGGGGAGGACGAGCTCGCCGAGGAGGAGGAGGGAGCGGGCGACGAGAACGGGCACGGGGAGCAGCAGGCTCAACCGCCGGCGACGCCGCAGCCCCAGCCCCCCCAGCAGCGCGGGGCCGCCAAGGAGGCCGCGGGGAAGAGCGGCGGCCCCACCTCGCTCTTCGCGGTGACCGTGGCTCCGCCCGGGGCGAGGCAGGGCCAGCAACAGACGGGAGGTAAGAAGAAGGCGGAAGGCGGCGGAGGCGGCGGTCGCCCCGGGGCTCCGGCGGCGGGTGAGTGCTGCGTTGTAGGCTGCGCGCGGCGGGAGGCCCGCCCGGGTGGGGACCATGCCCCAGGCCTGCCGGAGCCCCGTGGGGGGAGGGCGGCGGGGGAGGGGCGCGGGGAATCCCGGATTAGCCGCGCGGCCAGCGCTCGGCGTGACGGCGGTGCTGCGCCTCCATTATGTGGCTCCGTCGCTGGGGGGGGGGAACTACAGCTGCCGCGGGGGGCGGGGGGAGGAAGGGCGGGAGCCCAGCCGGCCGCGGTGGCGCCGCCGCGCTGCGTGCGCGCGGTGCGGGCACATGTCTCGCAGGGGGGAGGGGAGAGGTCCCGGAGCGGGCGCGCTTCGGCGGCTCCTCGCCGCGGTATTGTGCAAGGAGCGCAGGGGCTCGGCGTGACGTCACATCCGGCGGGAGGAGCTGGGCGCGGAGAGGGGCGGAAGATCAGTACAATGCGGCGGCGGGGAGCGCGAGCGGGGGAGGGGGAGGGGGAGGCGGCCCCTCCCCCTGCTGCGCGCGGGTTGGCGTGCACGTGGGCCGCGGCCCGGCCGCGCTCTTTTTCTTGGGCTTTCTGGAATCATCGAGTGGCCGGGCGGAATGAGCGGTGTCTTTAGACTGCGTCACCAGCTCCTGTCTTGGCCTGAGCTGATTGTTCTTTGAAATCGCGTCTCGTTCTTATATAAAAAGGTTAATACAAAAAGATTTAGCAATATATAGAAGGTTTTTTCCGCTTGGAGATAGAAAAGGTGCTTTTTGGATTTTTTTTTTTTTTGTCTTTTGTCTTTCCGATTTCTGGTATTTGTGTGGTTGGTTTGCGGCTTGGCTTCTTAAAGGGGGTATTGTGTGTTATAGGAGATGGCAAAACAGAGCAGAAAGGCGGAGATAAAAAGAGAGGGGTTAAAAGACCTCGAGAAGATCATGGCCGAGGATATTTTGAGTACATCGAGGAAAACAAGTACAGCAGGTACAGGATGCTAAACTAGTCGCGCTTGTCACCCATTCCTGATGGGTCGGCGGCCGAGCTGGTATCAGGAGACACTTCTGTCTTTCAGAGCCAAATCTCCTCAACCACCTGTTGAAGAAGAAGATGAGCACTTCGATGACACAGTCGTTTGTCTTGATACTTGTAAGTGAAGCCGATTCTTCCCTTCCTAACAAATGCAGTGGTTTTTTTTTTTTTTTTTGGTTCCAGATTGCTAGAAAACAGTATATTGACTAATGGGGGAAAATGTAGGTTAAAGTTTAAGGCAGGAAAATGACGTATGTTCAGATTGTAGTAATAGTTTAATTTTGGTATGGTTTCAGTTTTGTATTAATAATCTCAGGCTTTGGCATTGAATATTTTTATGACTTGAGAATTCTTTTTAGGGATGTAAGATTAATGCTAGTGTTTTGACTAACAGAAACTTGTAAAAGTACCTATCTTGTTACAATAAGGCTTCTGTAGTAGTTACGTTTTTTGTGGAATTAAGTATTAAGTGAGCTGTTTGGATTAAATATTTAATAATTTCTCCCATTAGCACACAAGTATATTCCCTATTCTAAAAGATTGTAATAATATTTTTTCAATAACTGCTCTTTTGTTCTCAATTCCAGTTCAGTAGCTGCTGCTTTAACATAAGTTGATTTCTTCCAAAGACCTGGGGCAGCAGCAGTGGGCTATCACTGGGCCACTAGCTTTCTTCAGCAGCGAATGGTATCAATGGCAGCGCTGTAAATACTGCTACTTTACCCAGTTGGGTTGCAATTATGAGGAAGTATTGCAAACCTTCTAATGGGCCTTGGCTGTCAGATTTGTGTTTTTTAACCATAAAGTTACATTGGTTTAGTATTTGAACGGAATGCAAACTTTGCAGTGTAGTGAGTAGAGCAGTGTAGAAATAAATGCTTGAAAAATAAGAGGTGTCACCTGTTTCCTTAGACACAAGGAGCCGAAGCTTAGCATTTTACATTTAATTGTACACGTTGCTTCTGTTTATGTTTATAGGTGTGGAAGTGTAAACGCTTAGGTAGTTGGTGGTTGAATCTTTTGTAAAACATGGAAAAGTAGCTCAGGAGCTTTAGGTCAGATCCAGTTAAAGTATAAAACTGCTAGGAATTGGCAGCATGGTCAGGTAGCGACTCGGTTAATAATATTGCCACTGTTAAATCAGTTTTTAGTGCAACTCAGCTAGGAATATCAGTCTGTAATGTACCATTGGGTTTAAACAAATTGAAAATTCTGTCAGTGATCAAGAACTTGTAGCAAAGCTTAATAGAGAATTTTAAGTTGTATATTTGATTCTCACTAATAGAAAGTAAACATTCTAACTTGATTTAGAGTTTAGCTGTTTCCCAAGTGAAAAGAACTCCGAGAAGGTGCATGTTAATCAGCTAGTGACCCAAAGGTAGCTAAAAATGCTTTGGATTTGGATAATCCAGGAAGTAGTTAATCCCTAGCTGATATAACTGCCAAGCTTGGAGAAGGGGGGAACCTAAAGTGCCAGTAATACTAACAGCACTAGAGCACTAGGTTTGTAGGTTGAGACTGTTGTATTCACTAGTTTTAGAAAAGAATTGAGGATCTGGAACTCCTGTATTAAGTTACAGAGTGCAAGATACACAACAGCTCATGCTCCTATTTTAAAATGATTTGGTCATGGCCTCACTTCAGTCTTAATTGTGGCACTGGTAAATTCTACCTGGTTCTGGCATGCTTCACTTTGATTTCCTGCTATCCTCTACTGCTTGTCTCTAAACCAAGGTAAAGAGCAGAGCAGGTATGTATTAATGTCACGTTGTCTTGATTATTTTACTTAAGAAACATACTCTTAAGTGTTAATTTAATAGGCAGTTTACTCTTCATAATTGACCAAGAAGTGGCTTGGTGGGATGTGGGAATTTTAAATGTAAAACTTGGAAAAGCATGACTGTAAAACACAGTTCTGTGCATCATTAAAAATACATGTGAAAATTTAGTAACCAAGTTTTGTCTATGTACCATAATACATTGGATGTCAAAAGAATAATGTGGTATTTGGTTACAGATAATTGTGATCTACATTTTAAAATATCAAGAGATCGCCTCAGTGCTTCTTCCCTTACTATGGAGAGCTTTGCTTTTCTTTGGGCTGGAGGAAGGGCCTCTTACGGTGTGTCAAAAGGCAAAGTCTGTTTTGAGATGAAGGTAAATGCAGTTTTGTGAACACTCCCCCAGATCCTTTTGAATTTTCATTTGAAGTTTCAGAGAGACTTTAACTTTTTTTTTTAAACAATGAAGTTTGTAAAATTAGAATTTGCCCTATAGAGCCAGCTGGTTTTATATTTTGGGTACTTTTGCTAGGGAAAGCCAAGTTTGGTTTTGTTTTGCATAGGGGATCGAATCTGGATCTTGCATTTGTCAGGCAGGTGCTTACCCTGCTGAGCTATATCCCCCGCCCTTTTTTTTTTTTTTTTTTTTTTAAAGAAAAGCTCCTAAGTTTGGTTTTGTTAAAGAGAAAAATATGTATACCTTATGGTGAGAATGTCTCTCATATTCCAAGTCTTAAACCTTCAAATTTGAGTTCTCAATGCTTATGTCAGTTGGATGGTCTTGTAATAAGTGATGGCAGTAGGACTTGGAAGGATAAGGAGGTGGAGTCCTTATATTAATAGCAGCAAAGGATTAGGACAAGGTCCAATAAAATAAGCCAGAGTTGAAAGCCTTACATTCCTTGGATTGAGGTTTGATTGTTGAATGATTTGATTTTCAGGTTACAGAGAAGATTCCAGTAAGGCATTTATATACAAAAGATATTGACATACATGAAGTTCGGATTGGTTGGTCACTAACCACAAGTGGAATGTTGCTTGGTAAAATTTCCATTTGACTTCTGCGGGTTCATAACATTACAGACAGCATTTTAAGTCTTAACCAGTTTTTAAGCTATTTCAATGTTCTGCAGATGAATAATAGCTGTATTGCAGGCACATGCTATATTTTAGTTTCCATCCCTTCCTGGTTTCCAAAGTTACAAATGGTTGAAATAGTCTTCCCAGTGACATGTAGTTTGCCCAAATAAGCTGGCTTTTGTGTGTGTAGCCCACAAAGCTTTCATCAATTCTACATCTGATACAGGGATAATAAGTCAAAGATGATTAGGTTATATACTCAGTTGTTTCTCGAGTATCTGTTTCTTGATATCCTGTATTTGAAATAGTAACTGTCAAATAGAACAGTCTTTGAGTGCTTAAACAGACTTAATAAAAGTTTTTTTTTTTTAGGTGAAGAAGAATTTTCTTATGGATATTCTCTAAAAGGAATAAAAACATGTAATTGTGAGACAGAAGATTACGGTGAAAAGTTTGATGAAAATGATGTGATTACTTGTTTTGCAGTAAGTTATGCCTAAGAATCTGTATAAATGACAAGTTATTAGCTACATTGAGGAATGTTTTAAAGCATGATTAGTTTAGATACAGACCCTGGCTCTAGGTTTAAGACTGTTAGGTGAACTGGGAGCATAACAGGATATTTTTGAGGAAGAAATATGATGCATTTTGACTAAAATCTGTTGAACATAAAGTTGAAGTATTCCTTTATTTGGATTCTGGATACATGTCTTTCATTGTGTCACCACCATTAAAAAGCTAACAGATGTGTACTACAAGATATGCTTACTGTACATTTTTATGTTTTGTTTTTCCTTTGTTTAATAGAACTTTGAAAGTGATGAAGTAGAACTGTCCTATGCTAAGAATGGACAAGATCTTGGTGTCGCCTTCAAAATTAGTAAGGAGGTTCTTGCTGGGCGGCCACTCTTCCCACATGTTCTCTGTCACAACTGTGCAGTTGAATTTAACTTTGGTCAAAAGGAAAAGCCATATTTTCCAATACCTGAAGATTATACTTTCATTCAGAATGTCCCCTTAGAGGATCGAGTAAGAGGACCAAAGGGCCCTGAGGAAAAGAAAGACTGTGAAGTAAGTAACTTTTTTTTTGAAAAGTTTGAAGCACTTGAATATTGCTTTTGGCAGAAATGATTATTTAAAACTGCTAAATGATTAGTATTTATCTTGTTGCTTTCAAGCAATGCCTTTTCTTGTTATTTCTCCCCTTGTGATGTGTTAGGCTTCCTACAAATTCCAGTCATATGTGATCTGATGATTTGGATTTTTAAATTAGCTTCTTATTAAGGTTAAAAATGTCTAAAGAATATTATGTGGTTTCTAAATTGTTAAATGTTTCTTTCCTACTTCAGGTTGTGATGATGATTGGCTTGCCAGGAGCTGGAAAAACTACTTGGGTTACTAAACATGCAGCTGAAAATCCTGGTAAATACAACATTCTTGGAACCAATACTATTATGGATAAAATGATGGTAAGTAAAATGTGATTGGACATAGACCAGAAGGGGAGAATGTAGACCATCAAGGGGACTGGCTAGCAGGTTTGAGGCCTCTTCGGTTCAGTCCCCAGCAAGGCCAAAGATGACAAAGTATTTTAAAATCTCTTTATCTGTCATCTATATCTGTTTTGATATCTCGGACGTTGGAATAAGGGCAAAAATTGGAATAAGGGCAAAAGTACTGTAAATTTGTTAAAGTAACCTCTTAAGATAAACAGCTTTCTGGAAATAGAATCCATGAGTTAAGAATTGAACAGTTTAGGGGCTGGGGATTTAGCTGAGTGGCATAAGCGCCTGCCTTGCAAGCAGGCAGTCGGAAAAAGAAAAAAAAAATTGAACAGTTTTTGAATGGCATATTGTTAATGTGAGAAAGAGTACTTTTATTGAGATGAGTTTCACTGTGACATCCTGGCTGGCTTAGACTGGCAGAGATTGTCCTGTTTCAGCCTTGAGTGCTGGGTATTAGAGGTTTGTGCCAAACACTTGTCTAGAGATACTTTTTTTTTGTAGTGGTAATGGAAAATAAAATGTCACCTCCCGTCTCGGAAGGTATAAGCAAGTATTAAGACGGGAAGGTATAAGCAAGTATTAAATGGAATGTAACTTAAGACTTTGAAAGTTTTAAGTATTTAAACTTTTAAAAACAGGTGGCAGGTTTTAAGAAGCAAATGGCAGATACTGGAAAGCTGAACACGCTGTTGCAGCGAGCCCCACAGTGTCTGGGAAAGTTTATCGAGATTGCTGCCCGTAAAAAACGGAATTTCATTCTGGATCAGGTAAGCTGCAGCTTTGAAGTAGAAAAATGTGAATGAAATTTAGTATAGAATTGATGTTTGCAATTACAAACTTCAAATTTTTTCCCAAGACAAATGTGTCTGCTGCTGCCCAGAGAAGAAAAATGTGCCTGTTTGCAGGCTTCCAGCGAAAAGCTGTTGTAGTTTGCCCAAAAGATGAAGACTATAAACAAAGGACACAGAAGAAAGCAGAAGTAGAGGGAAAAGACCTGCCGGAACATGCAGTCCTCAAAATGAAAGGCATGAAATTTATTTTCATTGTCTTAAGTTTCTTCCTGCAATTTATATCTTAAAAAATTAACAGGTTCACTAGCAAGACTTTTTGGGGGAGTTACATTAACTTACAGTACTTGTGAATGAGTATGTTTGGTTCTGTCTTTTAAGAAAATGTCACTAAAGGCTTTTATAGTTACAATAATCTATTTGAAAGAACTAGAGCCAGTTTCAGAAATTGGGAGTTATTGAGTTGTGGATATTTAAAAGTTCTGAAGTTTAGTTTGACTTTATTCCCTGCAGGAAACTTTACTCTGCCAGAGGTGGCTGAATGCTTTGATGAAATTACCTATGTTGAACTTCAGAAGGAAGAAGCCCAAAAACTTTTGGAGCAATATAAGGAAGAAAGCAAAAAGGCACTTCCACCAGAAAAGAAGCAGAACACTGGCTCAAAGAAGAGCAATAAAAACAAGAGTGGCAAAAACCAATTTAACAGAGGAGGTGGCCATAGAGGGCGTGGAGGATTCAATATGCGTGGTGGAAACTTCAGAGGGGGAGGCAAGTTTTAAAATCTTACTATAATTGGATTATAAACATAACCTGGGTCCATGTTAGTGGTTAAAGTTAAACATTATTTTGTTCATCATTTTCCAATAAAAACAATGCCGTGGCCTGGAAAGAACTACAAATAATGTATAAGTTGGTGCAATAAAGTCTAAATATTCCTTGTTTTTCAGCTCCTGGGAATCGTGGTGGATATAATAGGAGGGGCAATATGCCTCAGAGAGGTGGTGGTGGCGGTGGAAGTGGTGGAATTGGTTACCCATACCCACGTGGCCCAGTTTTTCCTGGCCGAGGTGGCTATTCGAACAGAGGGAACTACAATAGAGGTGGAATGCCCAACAGAGGAAACTATAACCAGGTGATGATATGTGGCGGGATTGATGATCCATAGAATTTTGGTCTGGAAGGTGATGGTAGGCTAATGTTGAAGATTCTTGGTGAATTAGTGTATGCATTGACAGAAAAATTAAACCTAGTAATGGCAAAATGAATCCCCCTTTCAGGTGTTCTAACTAGCAACCATTAAGGTGCAATTGCTAATGTAAGACTGAGATGATTGAGACACTAGCAGAAAGCCCAGGGTTTCTCCTCCACCCTATACTGCAGTATCTAATACATGTCTATTTTTGCCCCTCTTCCACCATACCTTTAAAAGCATGATAAACTTTGGGGTTCAGAGTTCCTAAAAGTCTTCTTTGTTTTCTTAGAACTTCAGAGGACGAGGAAACAATCGTGGCTACAAAAATCAATCTCAGGGCTACAACCAGTGGCAGCAGGGTGTAAGTAATTTTACGTGATTGTGTACATTAATTATATTCAGTTTCTACAAGAGCAAGTCTTGAAAAAGATCTTGTTCAGGGACTGAAGTGTATAAATGTTAAGAGCACAAGGTGTGGATTGTGTTATATCTGTAGCTATATAAATAGATTGGAGGTTGTTCTAACTTAATATTTTCATAATAAAGTAATGTGTAATATATTTTCTTTTTACTGCTAGCTTTAATTGTGTAAACTAACCAAGTTACATTTCCTTTTGTAATGTGTACTGATAAATAATGGGCTATTAAAACAATCTGGTTTAATAGAAATCAGGTATGACAAGTATAAATTTATTTCCAGCAGTTACTGTGAATTAGATTCATTGTCATTTCCTAAAAACAATTCGAGTGGCTTATTGATGTTTTTTTCTTTAAAAAAAAAATTTTCTCTTACAGCAATTCTGGGGTCAGAAGCCATGGAGTCAGCATTATCACCAAGGATATTATTGAATACCCAAATAAAACGAACTGATACATATTTCTCCAAAACCTTCACAAGAAGTCGACTGTTTTCTTTAGTAGGCTAACTTTTTAAACATTCCACAAGAGGAAGTGCCTGCGGGTTCCTTTTTTAGAAGCTTTGTGGGTTGATTTTTTTTTTTTTCTTTTCTTTTTTGTACATTTTTAATTGCAGTTTTAAAGTGAATCGTAAGAGAACCTCAGCATTGTGCACGATAAGAGAATGTGTCAGTATTTCAGGGTTCTACATTTTATCTGTAAAATGTGACTTTTTTTTTTATCACAAAGAAAGTAAAATGTTGCTTTGTACCTGGTGTCTTTTATTAAGAATTTACTCCCCCCATTTCTCACAGAGAATAACAGTCGGGAGTCATTGTCACAATATAATAGAAATGTTAGCAACCAGATTCATGGAAGGACTAAGTGGTCCTCATGAATTGCATAAGACTCTGTACTGCTCATATTACACTCCATCCTCTCTGTAGTTTTTTGGGTAGTGGAGGGGGTATAAGCTAAGTAGTAATCTCTTACAAAATCTGGGAAAGGCTCTTTCTGTCTCAATAAAAGCGGAATTGGCATAATTGATAATGAAGAGAAAACTTGGAACCGAAATGGAGAAGATGGAGTGTATGTAGAAGGGCTGATAAAAATGTAAAACTTGGTTGCATTTATTTGTGGAGGCTCAAACTTGTGAAGGTTAAATACCATAATTTTTCCATTTGTTCTGCATTTTGATTCTGAAAGAAAGCTGGCTTTGCCCATTTCTTATTAAAAAAACTTGTTGTAAATCCAGTTGTCTAATGGGATCTATATGAAGTTAGCTATGTCTGTATGCCCTTCTCCCACAAAATACTGTATAACTAGTGTGCTTGTAGTAGTTAACTCCACCATCTTTGTAAGCTAATGAAATTGTGAGTCACCCATTTATATCTTAATTTTTAATCATGTCAGTTCTTGAATGGGTATCTCCTTAGCCTGCTGATTTCCTTTTTCTTTCTAAAGAAAGTGGGTGGAGAAATTAATTTAGACGTTTGTTTGCAATAAAAAGAATTCATTTTACTCTTGTTTGGGATTCTCGCCATCAAGGTTCAAAATCCCTTTATACAACTCCCAAGAGGAGAAATTTTAAGTGTGTGCTTTCTGGACAGCTTATTCTTTTACTCTGTACTTAGAGAACATTTAGGTTTTAAAAACTTAAATGTGTACTGACAGATTTTATTTTATTAACAACTTGAATTCTTCCCTTCCCCTCCCCCCCCAGACGGCTTTTAACGTTTAATTGAGGGGAAAAGGTATACTGGCTGGGAGAAGTTAACGCTCACTGTCTCATCTTTACAAAATGCTGACAGCTGTCCTCAACTGATAATTTTATATACATGTATATGATACATGAAACTCTGGGAGCAGATGCTTTTAGAAGCCATCATACAAGCCAGTCATTGATTTCACTACTACACAACACTGCTAACTTAACTGTAGCTATGTGATAACATTAGATCCCCTATTGTAATTATATTGGGTTTGCACAGAACACTTAATCTTCTGAAGGATCCTCACTACGCAGTGAGGAATCAGGAGTCAAACTGTAGAACTAAAATTTGACTTCAGTCTAGTATTTTGTTGTTTTCAGTTTTCAGGTTGCTTCTGGTAAGTTCAGGTTTGTAGTATTTGTTATGGTTCAGAATTTTGTCTTAGCCCTTGAAAATCGGAATTTTAAATTGCTTACAAGCTGGAGTTGACTTGTAGATGTGAAGATGTAGATCTAGTTGACATTGAAACAAAGGCTGATTACCATAGAAATTCTTAATAGTACAGGGTAGCATCCATAGGTTTTTGTCTTTAGCAGTTGATAGACAAACACTGGCATGAATTTCTTAAAATACATTAGGATTGCATATAACTGCCCATCTTAATTAGCACTTAAGATATTATACAGTTTCCATTTGTGCCTTATAAAAACCTTGGGTACACCTTCAGCTCATTTGCTTAAATTCATACCCACAGTTACAACAATAAAATAATGGTCAAATACTATTAGTTAGGTCAGTATGCCTAGATCACCCAAGAATTTGGACATGGGTTGATGCAATAGATAAGTGCTGCCTGGACATTTACAGTTACAAGCAATCTCATGGTGAATGCTACATTTGTGAAAGAAATAACCTTAGGAAGTACTTAAATTCAGAAAATGGGCTGGATGTGGTACAAGAAGCTCACAAGTTGGAAGACAGCCTGGGCTACATAGTGAGTTCAAGGCAAACGTGAACTACAATAGCAAGAACCTGTTAATCCCCAACACCCCCCCCCCCAAAGCTAAATAGCAAAGGTAAATTCCAGAAAAGCCAAGTTTAGGCAGAATGTTTATGGGGACTCTTGGTTTCTTACTGTCCCTGTCACCTTTCATCCCCATGGCAAACATTCTGAAGCACATTTAGTTCAGAATGAATCCTAGAGAACAATTGCTTTGGGGTCAAAGTGGTTTCACACTAAACCAAACATGAGGTAGGTGACGTAGGTGACTGGGTGTGGCTGTGGTATAGCACGAAAGTAGGATGCTCACCTCTAGTACAAACAGCTGGATAGGAAAGAAGGCAAAGATAAGAATAATCACAACTGCATGTTTCTTTAGTGCTGGTGGCCAACAGGGTAACCGCTAGCCTTTAGCTTAATTCCAAGATTCATCAGCTTATTTTATAATATCCAGACAGCAGAATGAAGCTCTGAAATGAAACTTGAGGCAGTTTGACCAGGTTGATTTAAACCAAACAAAAAAGCCACCTTAGTTTACATAGAATCACTCTAGGAAACTAATAGTTGCAGTGGTTTTTCAACTAGAAATTTGATATTCATGAACAGATTACGCTCTTGTCGTTTTTTCTATAAACATAGTAACAAATTGGCTTTGTATTTAGAACCATGTCTGTAATGTGTTCCACTGCACAAAAAACAGTATTTTAATAATTTTTTTAGGTAATGTTGTATATATGAATATAAAAACCTAATTCAGATCTGAGAATCTGATTAGAATGAGTAGAATAAACTTGCCATAATTTCTAGCGCAAAACTAAAATGTTTAAAAGGATGACTTGCATGAGAACAGTTTATTCCCTAGCTTGTGCCCCATACATGAGTTTTCCCCTTGTACCAAATGATATACCTACTATTTTATCTGACCCTAGTTGTTCCCCTAAAATTCTTAAAATTTAAACTTTGGATTTGATAGTAAATAAAAATTTGGTATCAGTTGCCTAAACTTGCTGAAAACAAGTTATAGTGCCCTTTATACGGTGAGTTTTTTGTTCCTTGGACGTTTTCCAGCTTGGGATTTTTATTATTTGGCCATGGCTAGTACTCATTAAAACACGATTGTATGTCTAACCAGTTTGTTGCTTTTGAGGTTTTAGTCATCCTGTTTTTTTGCTTAGTATTAGCACTAGAGGTACATGAAAGACAAATGAACTTGATCCAGTTAACTCTTGTAGAAGTAGACCTGTCTTACTAACCTTAACTCAGTTTTGTTTTTGGAAATGAGTTATAGTGCTGATTTGAAATAATATGCACTTAATTTAGTGTATTCATGTATGCTAGTTTATTTTGGTTTAACATCTACATTCTTACCAAATTTGCAAAGCAGGTGAACCGGACCTCAGATTTTAACTGGGAAGTAATGTAAGATTGCATACTTAACGCTTTTTCCATCCTTGCCAGTTAACCAGAAATACATGGGATTGAATAATTAGTTGCCCTTGAATATTATATGAAGTAGTAGGTTGGACATTGATGGAGGGATTACATTCATGAAGTTAACAATTAGGAAAATTAATACCTATTTTGTGGATTCACTTGTAATTGTGACCCATTATGTGGGTAGGTCACTATCAGAGTGACTGGATAGATGAAATTTTATGTAAGACACTTAGTACTATGCTATTAGGGTTAGAAGACTTACAGACACTTGATTTGTAATTATCTGATTTGCTTGAAATACAAGCCTAGAAAATTTGTTAAACTATTTTTATGCCAAGACTCATGTACCCGCGTCTTGATAGCACAAGATTGTGCTTTGAAACCACTGAATCTCTGGGTTCTTTATAGTACTTGAAAGTGATAAGGATAATGACAGTCTGGAGTAGCCAGTCTAGCAACATCATAGAGAAAGATTCAGTTCTTTGCACCATTAACGCAGTCTGCTTGCCAAGCTTGTGTTCAGTTTGATTATTTGTAATAGTGGTAATTCTTCATGGATTGCAAGCTGTAGAGCTGACACAGTACAGTACCTGATTGAACTATTTGTAGCATATTCTTTCCTGCTGTTTCCTTTGATAGGCCCAGTCCATATTAGATAAGGTAGAGTAAGTTGTACTTGGTAAACACTCAGAACGTTGCTACGCTAATACTAGAGTTGCCAAGAATAGACAGGCCTGTAGACAACTAGCTTATGTGCTATTATAAATACTGCAAAAACATAGGATAAATTAATAGTGATTATAGTTTATTGGCAACTAAACAGCTATTAAGGAAGAGTTAAGTACAAGAACAAAAGGTTCCAATGTACTTTTTTTTTTCTTGTGAAAAGTAATAAAGCAAAAAACATGCTGATTTAAATTTCATCTCCTTTTCCTTAGTCTGTCCATGTGAATGTGCTGTGTGGAAGAGTAAAAGGGCCCAACTAAATGTGTTCCAGTGATTCTAATAGGTATTCCAAATTAATTGTATATTTAACGATTGTTATGTTAGGGTTCTAGGATCACTGTCAATAAAATTTGTTTTTAAAGACGGGAAAATTGGTAACCAGGTGGACAATGCTCTGGGAAAAACAAGTCTTCCAAGTTCCCTTTGCATACCTGCACCGAGTATTGGCGTCCTCTCAGTTGGATGTCCTTCCACGTAACTGTATAAGTATTTACACTATGCTCCCTTACATGAGATCTGAGATAAAAACTTGTGAGTTATAATGTAAAACAGTAGGATAACTTTCTGTCCTTGTTTCCCTAAAATCTTTTCTGGATTTATACACAAACTGCTTTAGAATATCTGAAAAACGGATCAAGCTCCTTTTGGATAATGAGCTAAAAGTGTGAAGTCAGTTGGGAATTTGACTGATGGAATGGGAAAGGTTTGTGGTGTAAGCTATGATCATGCCAGTCCAGAGCATGTAATTGTATAAATCTGACTTTGAATCACTCAAAGGAAATTAATTTTCCTACTACCTATTCCAGAGTAACGTTTTTAGATTAAAAAATGAGAGGACTTGGGTGCAGGTGTAATACCTGTAGGTATCAACATTTAATTTAGTACATTGTGGCCTCTGAAGGCAACAACCCTCATGGTTTCTAAAGAGCAGGCAGCTCAAGGTTTCGTAACCTTTTCTGTTTACTAGAAAAAACCTAATGAAACTAGAGAAATAAAATTTGTTGCAAAAGTAAGCTTTGAATTTATGTGGTAAAGCATACTTTTCACTTGTCTTCATGGTATACTGGAAGAACCATTTCTATGGGAAACTTAAGGTATATGTACAGAGATTATTTTAATTCCAACTAAGGCCTTGCCCTTTGACGGGTGGTTTAAAGTGTATGGGACATTAATTGCTAGAAAAATGGTGCAAGAAGAGGTGCCACTCATTGCCTTGATTTATACTTTAAAGTGAATAAGAGTTGTGTGTTACTGTAATTAGTGGTAGCCTTAAGATGGAAGTAATGTCATCCTCTAGTGAATATAATGGTTGAAAAGCACTCATTCACAACACATTTGTAGTGCTCACAAACTTTATAAGTGCAATACTTTGAAGAATATATTTATAGTAAAATTTTTGTCCTAGCTGTTTCCCTTTTAAAAAATAATTTTAAGTTCTTAATGTATAAAGTAAGCTGTATGGAAATACCAGTATTTGGGTAGTAATATTGGCATATTGACCTGATATTATATTTACTGGACTATTTTAAGATGCTTCCAAAGTTTTATTTTATTCTAGAGAACCGCTACAAATAAGACTTAAAGCAATCGTTTTAATTTTTGTACTTTGCTCATTAAGATCTGCTTACCCAAAGGGTAGTGTATATTTTAACATGACTTTTAAAGGGGTGACTTGACCCCGTCAGATTTTTATCTAGGAATAGGAGGATTCAAACCCTGTTTGATCCCTCTTTGCTGAAAAGTGCATAAACAGGAATCCTGAATTTATTATATAGACCTCCTCGCATTATATAATCGAAGCAAAGGGAAACCAGCGATGGAGTTAGAGGTACGTAGACTAAAGAGATGCTTGCAAATCAAATAACGGTTCTAGTAGAGTCAAGAACTCGTGTTGCCAAACCCAGTCAATATAAATCACAAATTAGAGAAGAGCTGCTAATTTAAATTCCCTGAGGTCCCTTTACTGAGATGGAAAAGCAAGTAAAAGGAGGGGTGAGGGAAGGGGAAAATGTCAAGTGCTAGGAAGATTAATAAAAGTAGGTATTATAGAAAAGCTACCCGAAGTTTTCAAAACTAACAACTACAATTCTATTTTGGTCAGCTACTTAGCTGGTACCTACTGCTATATCACCTAGTGTGAGATTTGGAATTAACGGGACAATGAAGGAAGCAGTGTGCTGGAGGCTCACAAAGGAGTATGGAAGGTATGTTTTGCTAATAGGATTTGCAGTATATGAATGGGACGAGGGGCAACCTTGGATCCTATTTATTAGCAGTAATTTTAGTGTTAAATCAGTACTGGGGATTGAACTCACAACCGAGCACTTGGAAGGCAGGCATTTATGCCACTGAGCTAAATCCCCAGCCCTACCTTGGAGGATTTTTAAGTCCAGCATGATGAAAAGTGAGGCCCTGTCTGAAGGGAGTGGAGTTGAGGTGGTGGCCTGGCACTAAGGGCCTGGGTTCAATTCCTCCAGCACAGTGTGGGGATAAAGGGTTGGTACACACGTAGCATATAGTAGTTGACTATTTAAGTGCCAACTAATGTTAAGAGCTAAAGCACAAGATAGGGTGAGAAGCTGAAGGACAAGTGAATGAAGTCCACAGAAGTTAAGCAGATAAATGGAAGTTCACAGATACAGGTGAGGAAAGGCATTCCAAGTAGAGTAAGGCGTCTGGATGGAGCCATAGATTCTAATGGAAAGGTCATGTTTGTGCTGGGGGGTTTGGTAGAGTCTCCCAGAGCTAAGATTGCAGTTGAGTGGCAGGGTGGAAATGGGAGTAGCAGTTCAAGGTGTCTAGACCATTTGGGAATACAATGTGCAGGAGGAAGGACTGTATAGTGATGTGTATACAGTGGTATTTTTAAAGTAATGCAACTCAATTTGTAACTTTTGTTCTGTCCAGGCCTTCAGTTGTGCAGTCATTCTGTCATTCTGATGTGAAAATGAACTAACCTTGTTAATGAAGAAAGCATTGGAAATTTACCACCTGGGAGGTCTCTTTTATCTTATTCAGGGTAAGGTGGAGTTATGGTATGTTACAGCTAGAAGACACTGGAAATTACTCCAGTTTGCGTGGTTTTACATGTTGCAGATAAATGTCTTGAGTCTTCTTTAAGTGTCCTGTGTATATAGCTTGTTAAAATGTCAAGATTTATTGATTGCTCCCCACCTCCCCCTCAAGCTACATCTTAAGAGCTTCCATGTTGAGACAGGGTATTGCCAGGTAGGCTGACCCTAAACTCAGTATAGCTAGCTGGTCTGGGAACTTGGAACAGTCTTACTGCCTCAGCCTCCAGGTGCTGGGATTACAGGCAGGCATAGACAAGACTAATATGCCTGGCAAGACTAACACATTTTTAATCATGACCAATTTGAATGTTAAGACTGCATTACATGTTGGTCTGTGCCAGTAAGAGTTGGCAGATTTTGTAATTGCATTTTCCTTTACAATAAATGAGTGTAAGAAGTCTTTTTGGTGGCTGCCAAATATGAATCAATAAAACTTGTTAGAGCATGTTTGGCAACATTCACAGCTAGTTGTGGCATTTGGTAAACCATATGGCTTCTGTACCCTGACCCTCAGTGACAGTCATACAATGCCCTCTCGTGAACTGAACTGATAAAGCTGCCTCTTTCCTTTGAGAAAGGATACAAAAACAAAGTACCTTACTGTGAAACACCAAATTGATCAGACTAGCGGCTGAACGCTGGTCTTACCCCTTGCTGTATTAAGCATCTACTGTAACAGTGTTGGCCAGGCTTCCTATGAATCTCTAGACCCAGGTGATCTTTGCTTTAATCTTAGGTGTATGCCAAAGGGAAGGTTTTCCCTGCATGAGTTAATAGAATTTTGGTGTTGGGTACCTTTATTCTTCAAAGATTTTTTTAAAGAACTGTAGTAGATTGACTTTTTAAGGTAATAAACTTTTTATGTGGTATATACTTTAAATTCACTTACTAAAATTCTACATACTTCAAAAAGCATTAAGGGCAACTGAAAACTTAGTGATGTTTTTTAAGGCAAGACTTTTAAGAAACTTTTCCTTGGATTTTACAGTTCTAAAGACATTGTCAATAAATTGTACTAATACTTTAGGCATGCCTGACAGACAACTCGAATTGATGCGCTGACAGCAAAGGGCCAGAATGAGCTGGCAAGTTTTCATACAAGTATGAAAAAGACAGACTCTGGCTTCCATGTGCTTTATTTACTCAGTTGAGAGCTACTGTGTCACGTGTATAAAATGCTCTGTAACTGACCCCAACATTACTAGCACTGACTTCAAAGAGTTCTCTTTCGGTTTTCTGTGTTCAGGTTGTTCAGCTGCTGCTGTTGGTTTGTTTTCTTTCAGGATCAAGGTGGGTGCTTTCATATAAAATCTTGTTTTTCATTCCTTCCCTGGCGATCCTTTGCTGGATTCTTTCCTTTGCATAATTATACCTGCAATGGAACCTTATCAAACAATATTGTTATTAATATATACTATTCTTTATAATCACAGAATTTTGAAATGCTTATGGATGAAGATCTGAAGATGAATGCTAGAATGCTGTTTTAGAGTCAATACCTATGATCAAAATAATAATATATAAAATGACAATTTCTGCCACCTTAGCTTAGTTTGAAATGTTGTGGAACTTACATATTTTGAGATTCATTACATAATTTACATTAACAATCAGAATGAGATGAGAAAGAAAATGGAACAGTTGAATTCGTCTTATCATTTATTGATTTATTCAAGTATTCCTGGTATAGTATGTGAATATATAATATTTAAAGGCAAAGGCATCCCAGCACCACTGCTTTGTAAGATGGATTTCTATTAAAAACTCATTAAGATTTTCAGAGGGTGGCTCTCCCAGTGAGATTTGTTGGGAAAATACATGAGCTTTTGACCTTTGTGACCTATAGTGATCTTGGGTTATGGCAAACATACCAGCATCCTAAAGTCACCACGATAAATCCTCCTACTCCAACATCACATGATCTTCTAATTCTGCCTGTAAGGAGCAAGGAATAAGAAATACATACATGATTGTTACTTCATCTAGAAAAATGGTTTTCTATAGATAAAAGGGGTATTTTGTGTAAAAAAAACCCTAAGCATACTCACTAGTTAACAAAAAGTATCCAAGTCCAGCCACAACAGATCCTAATGAACCATACAATACTGAATCCCGTGCACAGGGAATGTTTTCAACATCTAAAATTCCTAGGAGCTTAAAGGGCTAGATTAAAAGAGAAAAAACCTAGATTGAACAAAGTATTTTAGTTCAAGGTAGTGCAGCAAAGAATACAGTGTAGTATTTTAAGATATAAACTCAGATGTGCCGGTTAACACTCTTTGATAACTGTTATATAACCAACTGAACCTATATAATTACAAGCCTTCAAAATTTGATCACAAAGCCCTAAGCAGTGGTACAATTTTACATCCGGACATAATCAGCTGATTTGAAAATAACTTTTAGGTACATTTCTGTGGAAATTTTGTCTTTCAGCTGAAACAAAATTCAGTTATCTGGGAAGCAAATGAAAAAAGTTACTTGAACCATGTTTGCTTGTAATATTTCCTCCATGTCTTTATTTCAGGTTTTGGTGCTAATCAGATCAGTTGGCAGTTATAACCTTTTGTTAACATGAACATGGATAATGTGTTTCTCTGGCCTCAAACCTGTTTCCCTGCCTGTCTCATGAAGTTGCATTTTATGATTGGTAGCTTATGGAACCCACAGCTATGTAAATCCTAAGTTTTTTTTTCCCCCCCCTGTTTTTACCTGTACCGGGGATCGAACTCAAGACTGACTGCTTGCAAGGCAGGCACTTACGCTGCTGAGCTAAATCCCCAGCCCTCTGAGTGAAGTTTTACTTGGCTTGCCACTTCATTTTATCTCCATGGCCTTAATCTAAAATGAAAAGGGATTGTTTTTCCAACCTCTTAAATGAGTTGTCTTAAGTTGTATTTTATTGACTTTTCCCTAGTATGATCAGCCAGAGGCCTGCCAGTTTGACAGACATGCCTGCAACTAGCAGGAATGTGTTGAAACTATCTCAGTCACCAGCTTTAAACTCTGAGCAGTTGCCCAACCTCAGCCTCCTGAGTGCTGCAATCACAGTTGTGTGACTCCACACCGGCTTGAGGACAGTATTTCTGTTAATAAAAGGCCCATAGGGGCCTGGGTTGTGTTTCTAGCTTGTGGAGGGCTTTAGGTTGGAGCCCCAAGTTTTCATGATGGCTTAAAAAAGCATCAAATAGCGTTAAGGTAGCTGGATGAGTCTGTAGGGTAAAGCAGTGGCCTACGAGAGGGAAAGCACACAGAACAAAGGACAGTAAGAGTTGAGACATACAGATAACTCCATTGTATTTCATCCTACATGTTTGCTTTAGCATCTGCTGGCAAAGACAAAATGTGACTTCGTTCATAATAAAGTACAAATCATATACTTGCATTGTTTTTTTTTCTTCTTCTGTCTTTCACCTGTCCCACACAGGGACTGTTAACTCACTGAAGGCTTTTGAAAGCTCTGCAGTCAATGCAGATCTCCACATGAAAAGCCTGGGAGGATTCTAATGTAGACGGATAACTGGGGGGGGGGGGGTTTGCTGGGCTGTACTCCAATCAGGGCAGTGAGCAGCATCCCCTCCACTTAGGACTTGGATACCACAGTGTGGGAACATACTTGGCACTAGTTTTACCAGGTCTTAGATGCAGCTACATAGCTATGATAAACAGATGGCCATGGCACAGTAAGCACCATCCACCAAAGAGCCCCACGTAGGCTTCTGGGTTCTTGCACCCTTTCCATGATAGATGTATTGCTCTAGGGCCTACTACAGTCTGCTCATGTTCTTGGCACAGACAATATGCTATACACAGGCACATGGGTACCTGGAAGTTTCCACAAAGCTATTTTAAGTCTCAGTGTCTTGATATGTAGATAATGGAATCTGTTTTAAGAAACTTTCAGGTAGCCCTTACATTAGAGGAAGTAATTTTTAAAAGCAGATTTGTAACAACTTTGGCTTGAGAGACCTCTCATACAGCTCAGCAGTTCCACCCCAAACAAAACCATCTGATGCAATACATCAGGATCATTTAGTTAAGAAATCTGGTGGAGCCTGTAATTTTACAGCCTCTTTAAGATACTCTTACTTGGACTTTGATTAAAAGAACTGAAAGAACACTAGGAAAACAAGATGGACATCTGGTGCCAAACACCTGCCACTTGCACTATGGAAATGGCATTACCCATCCCTGAAGTTATACTCAAAGGCTGCAAGCCTACTGAAAAACACTGCAGGGGGGCATAGATTACTTGGGAAGGATGCAAAAAAAATTTAAAGCCAATGTTGTACAGTTCACCTCTAGTTAAGGAAATCAGTGAACCACCTTTCAGCATGTACAGTGATTCACTAATGGGCTAAATTCTGAAGTGCTCTTCATAAAATATGCACTCGTTTGTCATGCCAGCTTGCAGCCTTGTCACAAACTTAGCCCTTAAATAGAGGAAAACTACCAGCTCACTTTGATGGAAAGCTCAAGAATTCCAAGTCAAATTGGAGCTACATAAAAACTACCTGCATCAATGCTCATATTACTGCAAAATACCCTGGGTTATTTTAGAGCTGCTCTCCCCAGGTGTGCAGTGAATTCTGCCTAGCCAGGGGCTTGGCTAGGAAGTCCCACCCACCCATTGCTGCCACCCTGTCTTCCTGTGCTGCCCCCCCACCCCACTCTTGCCTTCACTGCCTTCAGGGAGACACCCCTCTTTGCAAAAGCCACCTTACCCATATCAGCATATGTCAGGCTGACAAATACTTTGAACTGTTCAGTTAGCTTAAAACAGCTAAGTAAGGTGCTGTCACCAGCCATTCCTAACAGTTTTTAATGTCTTCTGCAGACCCTGTGTATGTTTTTTTTTCTCCTCTTTGACATAGGGTCTTGCTGTGTAGCCTTGGTTGGCCTCAAACTTTTGGCAATCCTCCTGCCTCAGCCTCCTGGACTGCAATTATAGGCATGTGCCACAACCCCTAGCTGCTGCCCTTTGTGTTCTCTGAAATGTAATCTTAATAGGTATCTCAAGGCTTTCCGTTAAGTGGCACTTTATAACTCAAACCCTAATACTCTAATAGTGGTGGCAAACCTTCATCTGCCTGGTAATAACTCTTGTTCACTTAATTAGGAACCCTGAACTTCCAAAAGAATTTTCACCCCCAAACTTTCCTTTTAATGGTATCTCAACTAGTCTTCTGCCTGGGAAGATCCCAAAATTACCCTTGATTCCTTTTGTCACATCTATGCCCACTGTGTCAGCAGGTCTGGACTTGTACCAAACCACTCTCTCAAGTTAACTGTTATTACCACCAACCTGCCATCTGCCAGCAGTGTCTAGATGTTCATTCCTCCAAGATCTGTGTATCTTTGACTGCTTGGACCACCACGTGCTCCTTAAGTACAGCTCTGCGGGGCCCCAGTGTTAGGCCTCATCTCTCCTCAGCTTGGGTACAAGTTAGGCACACTGACTGCATCCGATGGTTACTGCCCAGCAAAATGCTTCTGCCTCTGGAGCTTTGCAAGGTTGGCTGAGTAAATAGAATTCTTACTGTACCATTCCCCCAGGAAGGTCATTAAGGACTGATTTTGCTTATTTTGCTTAAGCCTATATCCCTAGTACCTACTGAAAGGCCTATGTTTTGACTAAATTAGTGAATTTAGAATTTGCCTGAACATGAATTTACCTTCATGTACCAACTTCAAAGTTTGTCAAAGACCAAGAATGAGGGAAGATAAAAGAAGGGTTTGAGAAGGTTTTCACTATGCAACTCAGGCTGCTCTCAAATCCTGCCTGAGCCTCATGAATGCTGGGATTAAGTATACCATGCCAACCTCAGTTTTTATGGGCTAGTTCTCTCTGAGGACTTGTTTAAACTACCCTCCTACTGGAATGATCATTAACAAGCCCTCTTTTAAAGATAAGTCTGGCTTCCTTTACTGACAGTATTCCAGTCTGTTAAATAATAGCTTCTGTTTTGTTATCTCTGATATGTAGTAGTTTATGAGAAACTTGTTTGTAGGTCATTAAACAGCACTCTCCACCCACTGGTAGTGCTGTTTTGAGCTTTGTAGCCATCCTACATTAGATTTTGTTTGCTATTGACAAACAGGTTATTTTTTCATTTTTATTTCTGGTGGATTAAACCTTTTGGACAGTTACAAGTCCATGATCACACAGCCAGATCTAGGATTTAGTGTTTGTGGTATAACTTGAAATATGCAACTTTCAAAACAACAGCATTAAAAAAAAAATATTACAAATAGTTGGTAAATGGGGGTAAAAAACCAGAAAAAACCCACCAACATCTGTTATGGCTTTAATACAGAATAATTCTGGCCAACAAGTTACTTATGTTTAATAAAAATGATCTGATGTTCTGGCCAAAGTTAGAAATCTCCAGAGAACAAAAAGTGAGCAAGTATTTGCAGTCAGGATTGGCTGCATTATCATTTACTGTTGTCTGAACATCGGTTACTTGCTTCACATTGAGAGGATGGAGAAGTTGGATTCCTTTATAAGAGGCCCAGGAAAAAAGGACCACTATAAAGTTACTACCTTCCCGGTGTGCTACAGTAATGATAAAGCCTGTCTAAGATGCACCAGAGATGAAAGAAACCCCTCCTTTGGCTCTGGGGGTCACTGGAGGTCCTCTCTAATATCAGAGTGAGTTTGGTTTTAATCACTACATCAAAGACTGGGTTTTGTTCCTTGAAGGAACGGGCTACTGCGATTGAATTTTAAAACTATGAAAATGCCCATTTTATAGGATGGAAGTGCATTTTGTGGGTTATGCAGTGTCGCGCGCTCCTACTCGGTCTAGGCTCAGTGAAAGCTTCTAAGAAATTCATTTCTTTTTTTGAGGTACAGGAGACTAAACCTAAAGACTAACCAATACATTTCTATACCTCTCCCTTAAGGTGGGAATTGCCAAGCAGAATCCACCTTTAAAAAAAAAATTAACCTCATGGGTATATTTTAGATGTACATAATAACTTTCATTACAGGGAGCTTGCGCCTATACAGGATATATATTGATTTTTCCCATTCCAGCCTCTCCAATTTGGGATGTTCCTGCCTCAGCCTTCTACAATGCTGGGATTGCGGGACGTGCGCCATCACACCGGACTTCACCATTTCATCTAATATGCTCTGGGCAAAAATTTATCGGAATATAACAAAGCTTTTATTTCCTGGCATCTACTGAATCCCCCTATGTAAATGTAGCGTGCATCATTAAAAACCAGGGACCCGTCCTCGGAACCTTCACTAGCAAAATGCAGCGCAGTATCCTTATCTGCAGAATTGGGTCACAGGATTGAGTCTGCGGTCTCAGCGACCCGCAGCTAAGTCATCAATCATGCGGGCCCCTCCTCCCCAGCTCCGGACACTCTGTCCGGGTGATTCCTACACGGATGCCGAGGGGAGGGAAGGACAAGGACTCGGAGGGCTGTGATAGCTTCCAGCCCACGGCGACAAACAGTTGGACACGTGAGCTAGACAGAAGTTCCGAGAGGCCCCGGCCCAACCCCCGCTCCCCCGCCGCGCGCGACCGCCGCCAGGTTACCTTCTCCTTCGCGGGCTCCCCGGGTTCCGGCGCGGCAGCCATGGCCGCGAGTAGGCGGTCCCCGCGCCCCACTGCGTCCGCCGGGCCGCCAGGCGGAAGCTGCGCCGGCCCCGCCCTCGGCGCGCCCACCCCACCCCCGCCCTCACCCCCACGCGCTGGCAGCCATTTTAGGGAATGTTCCCGAGGCTCTGCTCCAGCCGCGGTGGCGGCTGGGTGGCCACCTCCTTTGTTCAGCTGAACGGGTCTCACTCTTTACCCAGCCCGAAAACAGCCCGCAGGGCCAGGGAGCTGGGAGAATGCGGGCTGGGGAAACACCCAGGCCGGAGGGTTCGGGGAACTGGCTGGGAGCGCGGCGGCGAATTCAGGCCCGGGCATGGAGAGCCCGTACCGCCATTACTAACCGTCGCCCCCGCGCGCGCTTCCGTGCACGAGCTCGGCTGCGCGCCGAGGGGTGGGGCCGCGAGCGCGCCGCCGCCGCTTTGTCCTTCGGGGCGGACCCGCGGCAGGGGTCGGCCAGGCCTTGGCCCGGAAGTCGCCTCGCTTCGGCTCGGCGGCCCTCGTCCCCTACGCGTCCTTTGTCCTTCCGGCGCCGGGACGGGCCCGCGCCCTTGGTGCCACCCTAGCGCCCCTCCCTCTCGGCGCCGCGGCCATTGGTCTCACGCCTGCCCCTGGCGCTCGCTGCTCCCAGGCCTACACTGCCTCCTTGTTCTTGCGTCATAACTGGCTTTGAAATAGCACCGCTCCGCCCGCCTTGGAGGGACAGGGTACAAAATGGAGGCGGCAGCTCCCGGGGGAGCACGCGCAGGGCGCCAGTGCGCGCAGGCTCGGGCGGGGGCCGAGCCTGGCCGCCGCGCCGTCCCCACCGCGCGGCCCCGCGAGCTGCCGCTGTGTTCGTGGGCGACGCGGTTCTTTCAGGTTCACGGGGCCCCTCGTCCTGGGCCCGGGCGCCGCTCGAAGGGGCGCTCGGGAGGTGTACGGGGTCCATTGCCGAGCCAACTGCGTCTCTAACCAGGGTGACATACGCAACCCCAGAAACAGTGCTATGTGTGTGTGCTGATACGTGACAGTTTTTTTTTAAAAAATATCTATTTGAAACGAGACAGGCTCTACTACTAAGAAATAGAAACAATCCCAGCAATAACATCCTGCCAATTTCGTGTGCTCTTCTCAAGTTCTGCCGGTTACTCTCTGAGCTCATTCTGCAAGGTGTAACTTAAGGTAATAGTATTCCATAAAGGAGGGAGGAATTATTTTGATGTAGTTCCTTAGTCATGTTGTAAAGGAAGGAGAACTGGAAAAGTACCAGATGAAATACCAGTATGTCGCCCTATTTAATTTTTACTGCATTTGAAAAATTGCCAGAGCAGTCTTAATCTGGCCTGTTTCATTTATCTTGAGTATTTTTGTGTACTTTCGTATTAAAATTCTTAATTTCACAAAGAAGTGCAGACGACTTGTTTTATTTTGTTTTAAAACCTGTAAGAATGAAGAGTAAGAATCCTCTACTCTCACCCTTCCCACTCCTTTGCCCAAGGTCTTTCCAAACTTCTTTCTTCTTTTCCTTGATTAAAATTTATCACAGGAATGGATACACTTTACAATTATTAAAACAAGATTGGAGCCGGGCATGGTGGTGCATGCCTATGATCCTAGCTGCTGGAGAAGCTGAGACAAGAAAGCAAGTTGGGGGCTGGGGATTTAGCTCAGCGGCATAAGCGCCTGTTTTGCAAGCAGGCACTAGTGAGTTCAATCCCCAGTACCGATAAAAAAACGGAAAAAAAAAAAAAAAAAAAAAAAAGCGAGTTAAAGTAAGCCTGGCATACTGCAGAGGACCGTGTCTCAAAAACAAAACAACCAGAAAATTTAAAAATGTTTCAACTTTTACACACACACACACAGCTTCAGCGAACAGCTTTAACACTGCACAGGTGCAAGACTTTCAGAGGACGAGGATAGGGGTGTGGGAGGGTAGGGAGATGGTGGGTGCTGGTTATTGTGGGTGCTTAGCAAGCCTGGGGCCCTGATTCCATCCCGTACGCCACAAAAAGAAATAAAAATTTCTGTAAGATTTTTGAACGTGGAATAACCGATTCAAAGGCATATAAACGTTAACAGTTTTAGTACACAGCTAATTATACTCCAAATGTACTACCAATTTACATTTCCCATTAATGCTGTGTAAAATGACTTTCCTCACCTTTCTAGAGCTGCTTATGATCGTGTTTCATAATTTTTGCTGAATCTGGGGTAAACAATGTCTTTAAAAAAAATTTTTTTTTTAATGTCTAGCTTTTTTAAACTTTCCTGATTACTGTTAGCAGGGGATTGAGCAGTCTTTCAAATGTTTACTGGTCCTTTTTATAAGAATTAGTAGACCAAAAAAAAAAAAAAAAGATAAATCAAGATATATTATGTACAGGTACAAATTCTCTATGATGAATGTGATTATTGTATATACCTAAGCTATTTTATTTATTGGTATATACCAGTAAAATTTAAAATTCATGGTATATAACTTTTATGCTTTTAAAACTCTGGTTGTGGGATTAGAGACTTCACAATTCAGTTCCTAGAATGTGTGAGGCCCTGGGTTTGATCACAAATACCACCGAAATAACTAAATGAATACATTTAGTTGTGGATGTGATTTTCTTCTTTGTTTATAGCAGCCCTTGGGAATTACTGCTTTTAACTCATATGTGTAAAAATATTTTCTAGTTTACTTATTTTGTCAGCAGAATCTTTCATAATTTAGACATTTTTAACTTGTCAAACCTAACATTTCCTCTTAAGGTTTTGGAAATTTCATTTTATTTAGGTAGATCCTTAACTCTGATAATAAAAACATACTCTCATAATTTTGAAAGTAGTTTCTATGCTTCCTTTTGACATAGTTTTGATGATCTCTTTCCTTATTTTTCTTAAAAGACCAGCCTTAATTTTATTAACTTTTTAAAATTTGATTTCCCACTCTCCATTTTTTCTAGAAAAATGTGGTATGTTTTCTTTTTATTTATTTATTTTTAACACAGGTTCTCCTATATAGTTCAGGCTGGCTTTGAACTCACTATGTATCACAGCCTGGCCTCTGTTAGACCGGTGTCGCGAGGAAGACTCTAAGGGCCTCGCTCTCATGTAAAAACAATGGGGTTTTTATTATTTCGTGTACACGGGGTCCTCCAAACAGGTGGAAACGGAGAACCCTGAGTTGGGGCAAGGCTGGTGTTTTTAAGGATGAAAACCGCAAAGCAAGCAAGCATTGTTACAGAAGCCAATCATAGCAGTTAGAGCAGAACAGTTGGTGATTTGTCCATTTGTGATTGGTCAGATCATGAGGGGCGACCAGTGGGTCAGAGTTGATTAACTGTCTTGTTTTGCACAGCTTATTTTTAGGTCACCTAGCTCCTGTGTGGCTTGGTTCTGACATACTTCCCAATCTTGATTAGCATAGTCAGCAGACTTTATCTCTGAGTTTCCTGACATAATTACCTTACTTTAGCACCACAACCTTTCTATTTGTAGAGGGCAACAATGGTTAACATATCAATTGGGTAAGATTTTACAATTCTTTACAGAAGAGAGCATTGATTAACATATCAATCTTTTACCCAGGGAAAAAGGAAGACACACATTTACAGTTACAGGTATTACTATGATATAAACGAAGCTATTTCTGTGAAGAATGTACAATCTAATACAATCTGATGCAATTAACACAATTTGTGACGGGGCTACCAGATAGGGAAGACCCAGGATGTCAGGAGCTAGTACCTCAGGCCTTTGTTTTATGGCCTTTAGGAAGTTAAAACTTAACCTAGTTGGATTTGAAGGGAGAAGGGGAGGGGAAGCAGCAGATGGAACGAGCTTTCTTCGTCTCTTCATTCCCCCCCCCCTTTTTTTTTGTGGATGACCTCTAATCTTAGAGGTTTGTTGTAGCTAGGGGTTCATATTGGTGACGTATGACCATTAATTTGACCTGAGAGACTTGTCCCCTTATGAATTGGGTAATCCAGTTAATGAGGCAAGGGACAATGGCTAGGATTAGGATTAAGGTCACTAATGGTCTTATTAAGGGAAGGAGATAGGGGAGAATTCCGTTTTACATTTTTTAAAGGGGGCTCCCATACAAAGATTTTTAACAATTGTTTTTTTTTTTTTGCTTACAGGGGGACCAAAGCCGCCATGTAAGGTCGGCATCAATGTTATTAAAATCAAAACAAGCAAGCTAAAACAGTTTATAACCAGCATAATCTAACTATGTTTTAGTCAATTTTTAACTTTAAGGGTTATCAGTCTGTTGTGTAGTCCACTGAGTATGTCCCTCGTTGTCTGCTGTTTCCAGTGGCTTTACATGAGTGTAGTGAATCCGCGCAGTTTTTTCTGCTACCTTGATGGCAGTGGGGGTACTGAGCACCACGGTGAAAGGTCCTTCTCAGCGGGGTTTAAGGGAGTCACGGTGGTGACATCGAACCAAGACTGGAGTCCTTGAGGCCTTGGTCTCTGAAGGCAGGTCCAAGTGTTTTTGTCTAAACAGCTGGTGGATCCAGGCCAACACAGGTTGGAGTGTCTGTAGGGACTTAAGATCTCGATTAGTAATTTCAGCTAATTTGTCTTTTGACAATCTTGGAACCAATGGCGGGGGCCTCCCAAACATGGCTTTAAAGGGGGAAATTTTAGAAACATATGGGGTATATCTAGCTCTTAACAGTGCAAAGGGAAGAAGGCTCATCCAATTATTGCCAGTTTTTGAAGACAGCTTAGCTAAAATGTCCTTGAGACTTTGGTTTATACGTTCTACTTGCCCTGAGCTTTGTGGCTGATAGGCACAGTGGAGTTTTAATTAATCTTTAATGCCTGGGCTAACTTTTGGGTGACTCGGGCTATGAAAGCCAGGCCATTATCGGACCCCATTGATAGTGGGAGGCCAAATCAAGGTATGATCTCATGTAATAGCCTTTTAACTACCACTAAGGCTGACTCAGATTTAGTAGGGAAAGCCTCTACCCAGCCAGTAAAAGTGTTTATTAATACCAAGAGATAGCGGTGTCCCTGTAAATTAAGTTTTACCATGTCTATGAAGTCTATTTCCCAATGTTCTCCTGGAACAATTTCTTGATGTCGGGTGGTCTCCAACGCAGAGCTCTTGGCTGAGTTGACTAACAAGCACTGTGGGCATCTGGAGCTCGAAGAGGTGGTCAGTTTGTAGAGTTTTGGAATAAAATACTGAGTTCTGAACAATTCTGCAAGGTGAAACAGCTCCCACCCTAGTGCCTCCAGTAACAGTACTTGTTTATCAGGTAACTGGTATTAGCCCCTTGGGGTGGGAGACTTTATTCCAAGTTGAGATGCCAACTGTAGGTCTTTCTTTGTGTAGACTAGTTCTGACAAGGTCAGA